GTCTTCGCGCATTCGGACACCATAGAATTATGGAGGACATGTGCAGGTCTTTGGTAACTCACGTCTTCTTGCACAAAGCGAGTTCGACATCGACAGGGTCTCGGCACTTCTCGTCATCGTCTGTGAGGCGACCTTGGCGCCGTCCTTTTGGTACGCGCTCGTATTTGGCCTTCTTCTTGAGGAAGCTGTCTTGCACCTAAACGATGACTCGATGGGTTAACCTCACGAAGTGACGACAATGTACCCAAAACTGCAGCCCGTTCATGAGGCACGGACAAGCGATCATGACGAGAATTAGCTCTGTGCGGGGAAAGTCGCGGAGCGGCTCGAAAAGAACGTCGCCAAACACCTCAAGCTCTGGGTGGAAAAGGAGGATGACGCGACCAATGATCACTTTCGTAAGCAAGATGATGCCAAGCCAGGACGCGAGCTGGACGAGCCAGACCCTAACAACGACGTTATTCATCCAAAGCTGTCCGCATCGTGAAGGGAGCGCACTGGACTTGGATTGGGTCGCCATATTCGCCAGGCACTTGCAGCATTGTCCACTTGAAGTGATGCTACAGTGGCCAAGGATGAGCGACGAAGCCACACATAAACCTCAACAGTACTGCAAGCCGAACCAGGCCACGGAGCAGCGCCCAGTTGAGAAGCACGCCAAATGATGTGTCGAGCGTAAAGTTGATAAAGTACATGGCGCACTACGAAGCGTGAAGGCGGATCATAGCGAGGTCGAAATCGTACTTGGTCGGCCGGGTCCTTCTTCTGGCTGTAGCCCACAAGCACGATCGCGATCGCAATGTTAGCTGCATGGGCGACGCCAGCCCCGATGGCTTGCTTTCCCGCGTCAAAAAGCCACACCTAGGCAGGCGCCTCGTCGTCGCCGTCAACAAGGTACACATCGAAGGCCTACGCCGAGCGGGCGCCGGGGTGATTCGCGTAGCCGCTTCACGACTAGCACAGACATCGCAATGAAGCCGAGGGCCACTTGAATGAAGGTCTCAAATGGCCCGCTCAGGAGCTTGCAGGAGCCAGTGGGAGCAGACATCGTCGAGCGATGCCGAGCCTCAGTCTGTATCCGGATGCGGCTCCTGTATGGGCTAAAACCACGCGTTTTGCGGACGTCGATTGTAAGCTTGGATCGTACTGTGCATACAACTACAGTACACTTGTTCAGCTCCAGCACATCGTTCGTCAAAGCATGGTGGAACTGGTCGTCTTCCGTGTCATCTGCGCATACATTTCAAGGTTCGGCAACGGCGTCAGCTTCCATCGGCGAAGTCATCGTGGGTTCTCGTTCCCTGCCGCCTCTCCACGTGGCACAACGTTGGGCGACCCGAGCTGGTGCCGGGTGACTTGATATTTCACATTGAGGCATAAATTTTTGGCGCGTGGACCAAGCATTAGGAGTCCCGCGAGACAACGCACACCAAGGCGATTGTGGCTGGGCTGCTACTCTTCTATTCCCGGTAAGAGAGCTCTGGAAGCCGCACGCCCGGCCTGGAGCATGCCGACTTGACTGCGGCGCACATACCGGTACCGGTAAGGAGACGGTCACTGGTAAGCTGCATTGGTCATCTTCCGTCGCCAACCGCCGCACGTGAGAATGATGCAATCGCCATGGTGGCCACGAGGCGCCAACGGCTTTCCATTGTACGTATTAATAATACCGGCAAGCTTATCGATAGCATCGAACAGCCAGCCAGCCGCATATGTCCATGACTTGGATCACATTGTAATAACACCATTCATGCATTATCACTGGGCATCCAATCCTATCCATCGAGGAAAATTTACTACCAGTACCTTCATGGGGCGCATCTATGGGGCGCGTGGACCGCTCCTCGGACAACTACAGGCACAGCTTCACGACAAGTATTACTGGTATCTTCGCAAAGAGAACGAGGCCAACACGATGTACTAGTGTGTACAAGTGTGTTGAGAAGCCATCACTTAATGCAAGGAATAGGCGTCGTGAGCTGGTCGTGAGCTGGCGTCGTGGCGTTGGAGGATTTCCAGCCGTCAGACCTTTGAAACCAGAACTGCCAAAAAGCGCACCTCGTGCGACAGCCCGAGACCCCTGCTGCGACACCGTATGTAATTCGTTCCCCAAACTGGCCAAACCTGTTTCAAAAGGAGCACCTCATTGTTTTTTAGGCGAAGGCGCACTACGGCAACAACAATATGGCTGTGGTAAGGCTGAGGTGCTTCATCAGGGCGTTAGCAAGATATCCACGTGCCACATAGAGTTATCGCACGCGTATGACGTGAAAGCGTATTTATATGAAGCACTCGAGATCTTTCCGCAAGTGAGTGCCGAATGGGTCAGATGGCAACTGGCACTATCAGTGGGTGCGACCACGACATTTGGTGCATATTTGTGGAGTTGGTGCTCCTTTTTGATTTTTCGCGACGCTCGTGGTTGTAATATTGAGCACCTTCTGCAGCTGGCAAGGTGGGAATACTATGCACTGAAAGGCTTGCCCTGGACACACGGGCCGACGGAATCCATTGCCTTTCTTTATTCTACCAAGCACAGTGCTCGAGCTGGACAGAGCTCGTCTCAATGCAGCACAAGGGGGCGATCTGTCCGACAGTCACGAGCCGTCGCTCCTATTAATATATACTGCGATGAAAATACGAAGAAAAGCGACCCCAACACCAATATCGAAAGAAGATGGAGCAGTGATCGCTCGTTCGATATGAATATTTCTAGACGACGTCGATCTCGGCTTTTGTATGAAATCGAAATATCCGGATTCGCAACCGCTGATTATCCGGAATTACGTGGACGGCATGGATGTAATCGCGGCCCAATATTTTAATCGATGAGATGTCGCGCGCTGTATTGGCGGCGCCTTAATATTAATATTACACTGGCATTAATATTTCCAGTCGGCCACCAGTCTTGTTCTTGCCCCTTCCTGCGCGATGACGGAGATCGAGATCCGGCGGAAGGTCAGCCGCGGGTCCCGGCGGACGGCGCGGGAAAACTACTTCGACATGGACAGCATCGACGATGCAGGCATGGCGCCGCCCAGCGCTGGCCACCGGGCTTCCATGCTGCACCAGGACTTCCGCAAGAGCGTCAAGCGCCTGGACTCTGGTCATCATGGTGGTGTCTTTGAGCATCTCCAGCGGCTTCTCGGCTTCCAGGTCGCGAGCATGCGTAACCAGAAGGAGCATGTCGCAGTGCTCCTCACGAACAAGCAGACGCGCCTTCATAACAAGGGCAGTGCGGACCCGGCCCGCGACGCGCTCAAGCAGCTCCACTCGGCCGTCTTTACGAATTACACCAAGTGGTGCAAGTTCCTCGGCACGAAGCCGCGCTTTGTGGGAGCGAGCCAAGAGGCACAGATTGCGCTCTACTTTCTCATTTGGGGCGAGGCCGGCAACTTGCGCTTCATGCCCGAGTGCCTCTGCTTCTTGTACCACACGATGGCGAGCCGCTGGGAAAAGGTCGAGGCGTTGGGCCACAAACCCGAAATGGCGCCTGCAGACACGGCGTTCCTCAACAACGTCGTCAAGCCACTGTACCAGGTTGTTGCCAAGATGAACCCCGCGCTGTCGTCCAAGTCGAAGAAGGAGGATGGCAAGCCCAAGGACCACAAGAACGTGACCAACTACGACGACGTCAACGAGTTCTTCTGGACGTCCGAGTGTCTCAAGTTTGACGAGACGAACGTCGCGCGCGCGTTTGAGCGGCGTGAGGTCAAGACGTTCAAGGAGCGCCGGTCGCTGCTCAGCCCGTTCCTCGCGTTCTACCGCATCTTCTTCTTCCTCCTCGTCATGCTCCACGTGCTAATTGCGATCGCTTACGTCGGCGTCAAGACCAACAACGGTAACGGGTCGGGCTTCCACATCTACGACGACTTTTTCTCGAGTGTTTACTCGAACCTGCGTCTCCACGCATTCTACTCGATCGCAGCCTCTGTCGCCGGTCTTCTCGCGCTCAAGGTCGTGCTCCAGGTCTGGATTGACGGCGCGCTCATCTACAGCCACAAGATGTACGCGCTCGCCTTGTACGTGCGACTGCTTTGGCACTCGCTCTTCCTCGCGCTCTTCTGCTGCATGATCTGCTCGCCAAACGAGAAGGATATGGTGCTCGGGAAGGACTATCTCAGCGCCGCGCCCATCTACATTGGCGTCTACGCGCTCCCGGTGGTTCTTGGCGCCCTCGTTTCGATGTGCTGCGGTAGTATGCACCTCCCATTTCTTCGCGCTCTCCAGGGCACGCGTTCGCAGTACATTGGCCGCGAGATGGGTCAGCCGTTCGGTGACTTTATCAAGTACGCCCTCTTTTGGCTCCTCCTCTTCGGCCTCAAGTTTGTGTTCAACCTCCAGCTCATGATCATGCCGCTCATGAACCCGAGCATCGAGCTCTACGCGCTGCACGTCGAGTCGCAGTCGTCGCTGCTCAACTCGGACCACAACTTGCTCTTCATTGCGGCGCTCTGGGCACCGACGTTCCTCGTGTACATCTACGACACGCAGATTTGGCTCGCGATCTTCCAGGCCATCATCGGCATGTTCATGGGCTTCCGCATGAAGATTGGTCACTCGTCGCGCGTGACGCAATTCATGACCAAGCTCCAGGGTGCGCCTACGCTCTTTGATCAAAAGGTTGTTTCGCGTGTCGCCCGTGGCATGCTCGCTGCGACCGCCGAGGGGTCGTCATCGCCAGAAGTCCAAGCGCGGCTCCGCTTTTCGGTCGTATGGAACGAGTGCGTCAGCAGCTTTCGTCTCTCGGACCTTATCGACGACCGTGAGTCAGCGATCCTGCAGTACCAGATCTCGGCGTCCGGCCAGGTCGACGACCCGGTCTTTCTGCTCGCGGGCAAGACGTCGCGTGCGTGCGACATCCTTGGCGGCATCAAGAGCCCGTCGCGCACCAAGATTCAAAAAGACTTGGCAAAAGACGGCCTCGTGAACGTCACGATCAACGCGCTGGACTTGGGCGTGCGTATCTTGACCAAGCTGCTCGGTCCCGAAGATGCTGCGATCATTGACGGCCTTCAGCATGCGATTGCAAACGCAGACGAGACGTTGCGGTCGGCGAATTTGACGCACGTGCCACAGCTCCGCGAAAACACGGTTGATCTGCTGGCGTGTCTCCTCGATATGCCGGACGCCGAGGACGAGCTGCCGATGAACGCCCGCGTCGGGAGCCAAGTGCTCCAGGACCGCGTTTCGATAGTCGTCGAGCGCGTCCAGCACGTCTTTGGCACGCTCCAGCAAGTGTTTCCGTCCGACTGGATGCGCCAGCGCCTCGCAGGCTGCAAGTTTACGCAGCTCACATCCGACATGACGCACCAGATGACGCTGCTTTCTTCGCTCTTTGTGGACGAAGAAGTCGCGTCCGACGACGACAGCAGCGACGTCAGCATCACGGAGAGCGCGATGAGCGCGTGCACGCGGCTGTACTTTTTGCTGACGCTCGACATTGCGGACGCTCTGCCGCGCTGCGCCGAGGCCCAACGCCGTATGAGCTTCTTCCTCAATTCGCTGGCCATGTACATTCCGCAAGTGGACGCGATTCAGAGCATGCACTCGTTCTCGGTCGTCACGCCGTACTACAACGAGCCGGTTCTCTACTCGCTCGAGGAACTCAACGACCGCGTCGTCGTGAACCCGCTTTTCCGGGCTGCGGAAGCCAAAGCTAAGAAGGAGAAGGTTGGCCGCGAAGATTTGAGCATCCTCAAGTACCTCATCACGCTGCACCCGGAAGAGTGGGGCAACTTTCTCGAGCGCCTCGGAGTCTCGTCGCGTGAAGAAGCGCTCGTGTCGTCGCCGACGCAGGTGCGGCTCTGGGCGTCGATGCGCGGCCAAACCCTCGCGCGCACGGTCCATGGGATGATGCTTTACGAAGACGCGATCAAGATTTTGCGCTGGCTCGAGATTGGGTCGGATCAGAGCATGTCGCACGACGAGAAGATTGAGCAGATGGACCACATCGTCGGCATGAAGTTCAGCTACATCACGTCGTGCCAGATTTACGCAGCGCAGAGTGCGTCCAACGACCCGCGCGCGGCCGACATCGACCTTCTCATGCGCAAGTACCCCAACTGGCGCGTCTCGTTCATGGAGCAAGTCGGCGACTCGTACGAGTGCGTTCTCGTCAAGGCCGACGGCGACGACATTGTCGAAGTCTACCGTTACGAGCTCCCGGGCCACCCGATCGTCGGAGAAGGCAAGCCCGAGAACCAGAACATTGCGCTGCCGTTCACGCGCGGCGAGTACATCCAGACAATCGATATGAACCAGGAGCACTACTTTGAAGAAGCGCTCAAAATGCCCAACTTTCTCGCGACGGGCAAGAACGTGCAGATCATCGGCATGAAGGAGTACATCTTCACGGCCAAGGCGTCGTCGCTCGCGCGCTTTATGACGCTCCAGGAGCTCGTGTTTGTCTCGCTCACGCAGCGCGTCATGGCCAACCCGCTCCAGACGCGCATGCACTACGGCCACCCCGACGTGTTTGACAAGCTCTACATCATGACCAACGGCGGTGTCTCCAAGGCCTCGAAGGGCATCAACTTGTCGGAGGACGTCTTCGCGGGGTACTCGTGCGCGCTTCGCGGCGGCAAGGTCACGCACATCGAGTTCATGCAGTGCGGGAAGGGCCGTGACGTGACGCTCTCGCAGATCAACGCTTTTGAAGCCAAGCTCGCGAACGGGTCGGCCGAGTCGTCGCTGTCGCGCGAGGCGCACCGCATGGGCGCGGGCATGGATTTTTTCCGCCTCAACGCCATGTACTACTCGCACATGGGCTTTTACATTGCCAACTTCCTCACGGTCGTGTGCGTCTTTGTGTACGCGTACTGCAAGCTCTACGTGGCCTTGCACCTGGACATCGAGCAGGCCGTGATTCCCGTCACGTCGGACCTCGACCACCTCGCGCAGGTCATGAACACGCAGTTCATCTTCCAGTTTGGCATGCTCATGACGATCCCGCTCGTGGCCACCTTGGTTGTTGAAGTGGGTCTCCGGCAAGCGGTCATTCAGTTTTGCGAGCTCATCATCACACTCGGTCCTGTGTTTTACATTTTCGAGACGGGCACCAAGGCGCATTTTTTCGACGTGGCGATCCAGCGCGGCGGCTCCAAGTACCGCGGTACCGGTCGAGGCTTTGCGATCACGCGTGAGACATTTGTCAACTTTTTCAAGGAGTACGCGGCCTCGCACTACCGCAAGGCGCTCGAGCTCATGGCGCTCATGGTGCTCTTTGGCTTGTATGGCACGTTCAACATTGGTCTCAACGCGCTCAAAGAATTCTGTCCGGACGGCGCGAACAAAACCGAGTGCGAGGGCAACCCGCCAAGCACGATCAACAACCTCGACTCTTACGGCAAGAAGGGCCAGAGCTACGGCGTCGCGTCTTTCGCTGTGTGGCTTCTCGTTGTTTGCTGGTTCTTCGCGCCCTTCATATTCAACACGGACGGCTTTGACTTCACGAAGACCCGCATGGACGTGCTCAACTGGTTCGACTGGCTCGGCACTACGTCCGCGGGCGACGACTCCAAGTCGGACTCATGGGCCAAGTGGTGGCAGTCGGAGGCCGACTTGTACAAGCCCATCTCGTGGACGAGTCGCCTCTCATACGCCGTGCGCGAGTTCCGACACATCCTCGTCGTCTACTACATCTTTACGTACTCGTTTGAGCTCAGCAAGATCGTTCTACTCCTCGCAGCCATCGGCGGCGTCGCTGTCGCGCTCTGGCTCGGCGGCACCTTCTCACGCATCCTCTTTGGCAACAAGCTCCGTGGGCCGCGCGGCCTCTTGTACCTCGCAATCGTCCTTGGTGTCACGATTGGTGGCGTCGTCGCCGTCGGGTCGCTCTCGAGCTGGTCGGGCATGAAGTCGTTGAGCTTCTTTGTCGCCATGTATGCAGGCTTGTACGCGCTCCTGCAGTACTGCCTCGTGCTCCACGGGCTCTGTGGCCTTCCGATCGCGCGCTGGGGCCTTGTCCAAGAGCTTGGGTACCTCTTCGACTCGCTACTGGGCCTGCTCCTGCTGCTCCCGCTTGTGATTTTGAGTGCAATTCCGTTCATGCACACGATCCAGACGCGCATGATGTACAACGAAGGCTTCTCCAAGACCTTGTCCACGGGTGGCGAGTACGCAGCGTCCATCTCGATGTTTACGGGTATCTTTGGCGGTTTCACGCACGGCTGGCTGCTCTGCGCGCTCTTCTCGCTTGGTTTTGTCAACGACACCAAGTGGATTGCGCTCAACGAGTCGTTTGCCAAATTCATTGGCGACGAGGGCTTCAAGTGGGCGTCAGAAGCGGCCAAGCGCGATTTTCAGACGAACCTCTCGCTCTTTGCCGGCATTGGTTGCCTCGCGGGTGTCGTCCTCGGCGTCGGTCTCTGCTTCGCCGTCGGGCGCCGCACGACGTTTGTGCTCTCTTCGGCGCTGACTCTCGTGGGCGTCGGGCTTATGTGGGCCGTGACGACAACGTCGTCGATGGTCGTCGTCGCCGTCATGGTCCTCGGCGCGGCGATTGCCATGTCGAGCATTGCGATTTGCTTGTACAACTACGAGATTTGCACGCGCGACTGGAAGTGCAAGGCCGTCGTCGTCTTTGTCTTTGGGAGTGCGCTCGGGTACTTCGTCGAGTCTCTTCTGCTGTATCAGTGGAACTACCACCTCCTCGACGTCGGCTGGAAGGAAGACAAAATCAACATGTGGCGCCTCCAGTTCATCTACGGTGCGATTCCTTCGGTGCTTGTCCTCCTCGCGGGCTTTTTCCTCCCTCAAAGTCCCGTGTGGCTACTGCGCCGCGGCAACAAGAAGGGCGCCGAGGCGACGCTCGTCCGACTCCGCCAAAAACACGATATCCTGGACGAGCTTCAGGCCATTAACGACGCCATGTACCCGAAGGACCCGCCCAACCTCGCGTTCCGCGCGCTTCTCGTTATCTTGTTGCAGGTCATGTACGCGCTTGTGTCGTCGGGCACGCTCTTTCTTCGCGTGCTCGTCCAAGGTACAAAGAACGCACTCGGTGCGCCCGCGTCGCCGTGGCAGTGGTACTATGGTCTCATGTCGATGCTCGGCTGCCTCATGGGCTTCTTCACGATCGACGCGATCCGTCGCAAAACTCTGCTCAAGGACGTTCTGCCTCTTGTGAGTCTCCTCTCGGTCGCGGCGCTCGTGCTCCAAAACTCGCTTTTTTCGGAAGAGGACGCGCTCAAGGCCAAGGACCCACCGGTGCTGCTCTCGGTCGTGCTCTTCCTCTTTTACTTTACCGTCGCGTACTCGGTCTCGACAGCGACGTGGCTCGTGGCGATTGAGGTGTTTCCCGGTGGCTGCCAACTCCGCTTTGTGCTCCTCTCGTTCCTCGTCTACTATGGCGTGCACACGGCGCTTGCGTTCGTACGGCCCAACTTTATGACGGCGCAAATTGCGTTTGCAGCACTTGCGATCGGCACCACGGTTGTGCTCTTCGTCTTTGCTGCGAGCAACCAGCGTGGCGCGATCCAGCTTAAGCACGAGAAGACCAAGGAGCAAGCCGCGATCAAGGCGGCTGAGGAGGACGAGCTCCAGCGCAACACGCGTGCGTCGCGGTCGCACTCGTTCCTGCGGTCCCGCGCCCAACGCAACTCGAGTTTCAAGGACAAGGACGCGTACCACGCGTTCGAGTCGCCGGCGGCGACGTCGGTCAAGTCCCGCGTCGTGTAGGCAGTCGGATATATTTCTTGCATACACTTTCCTTTTTGCGCATCCCGAAGTCGTCTTGTTTGTTTGGGCGATGCCGTTGCTTGCCAGCAGTTGCCGTTGGCTGAAGCTGCCGATGGGTGTGGGTCCGACGAGCGTTGCTGACCACACGCCCCACCTGTTGCACAGCGTAGCACGATTGTGGCGCCAGTTTCTCGTCGCACGAGGAAGAGCGGGACGATCGACGGACCTGGATACGACACCACAGCAATCGATGGGAAGATGGCACCGATGGAAATATACCTGAAGGTGCCTACCACCACAAGAAGCTTAAACTGCCATTGGTACCGTAGTAATGGTCGCATTTATACTACGCCTTAAGCTCCAGAGGCTCTCATAGTGGGACATTGCCGGTTGGCAAGACGGTGTCGAGATATAAACAGCGTTGCGTACAGTACACTCGCTTGATGGACGGTCGTTGGTGACTGGACTGAGTTCCTCGCGCATTCGCACCGCCTCGTTTTATACTCATCGCTTTGCATCGCTTCTTGCGACGAAGGCGAAGGCATCTCGCCGCGTGTACAAGATAGATAGCTGTCGATAGTTAATATAATGTTATCTAGAGGCGGAACTACTCGTTCGTCGCGTGCTGGAGGCACTGATCTTGGATCTTGGCAAAGCGATGGCAGCCCGAGACGAGGCACGTCCGTCCGAGAAGTGACTGGAGCATGCTCACGGATGTCGGCGACTGCAGCATTGGTGAAAGCGGCTCCGATGAGGACGAAGATGTCGGCGACGTAGCCTGAATCGGCGACAACGTTGCATGAGCCTCGCACAAAAGGCCATCACCCGACTTGAGCTTGCAACTGCAAAGCTGGCAGTAGTTGGCGCCGCGATGGCGCCGGCACCGACCGTTGGCGAGAGACCGCCGATGGCACGCACCGGAGGTGCACTGGCGGTACCCGCCGTGGCCAACGCAAAGACCCGAGTACTGGACGACCTTGTGGCACCCGAGGACGCTGCAGCGCTTGCCACCGCCGTGGGCGATACAGCAGCCGCCACTCTGCGCCCGCTTGACGCAACCGTCGATGTTGCACTTTTTGCCGCCGCCGTGGATCCAGCAGTGGCCACCCGTCTGCGCGCTCTTATCGCAGCCTTCGGACGCGCAGCGTTTGCCGCCGCCATGGGCGACACAAAGGCCGCGGCTCACGGCGCTCGTGGAGCAATTCTCGACCGAGCACTGCTTGCCGCCACCGTGCGCAATGCAAAAGCCGCGGGCCTTGGCCACCTTGGCGCACTGCGGAAAGCTGCAATGGCGCGGTGTGCGCACGCCAGCCTTGTTGGTGTGCAGGATCAGCGTCGGGAAGCTCATGACAGCAGTAGTAGTACTTGATCGCCGATTGGAAAATGAAATGTACGTTGAAGAATCTTGGCGTGGTGGTGGCAGCATGTAGGTGCATGAGGCCAGCGCGGCCTGGCCAGTGCGGGTGGTGAGCGACGAGACGGGGTCGCCACTCGAGACAAGTCCAATGACGGCGCCCGAAGCTGATGTTGGAACTCGAATCAGAGTTGCGAGCCAGACGCACGACATTGGTGCGCTGGCCCACAGTACTTGCTCCAACCATCATCGACACTCGACTTTGTATGGGTGCCACGCAGGAGACAGCGCGCGTGCCAGTACTGGGGCGTTCGATCACCCACTGCCCTCATATTACCGCGACTTGTACATATTCTCGGAGCATAACATGTCGGATTATACGTCTCGGTGGTGAATGCTGCTCGAACTCCTACAGTTCGCGGGCGAGTAGCCTTCTTCTTTGCATGCGCGACAGGGGGCACTCGCGCTTGACGGCGCCGTTTAGAGCAACCCTCGTATTGGCTAAAATGATCGCACATCGAGCTCGCATTGCCAATGAAGCGTCTCCGCGAAATATTTTTGGCCAATAGATCATGCTGTATTTTGGTGGCCCGTTGTGCGTGACCAATGCGACGGGAAAAGCCGAACACGGTATTTCACTGAACTGACCAGGACGCGCACGGGAGTGTATTCGTTCTGGTTGCTCGTCACATGCGTCCGGGAGCTGTGTCCGGGGTGTAGGAAGTTGAATTGAGTTGCGTGTGGTTAGCGAGATTGTCAACGCGCTGTTCGCGGCCGCAGCGTAACCAACGCAGCGGTCAGGCCAAGTACGGGACATACACTGGTACAATCAAACCACAGCTCATACGGCTCCACTTGGTCTGCGCTGCGTTTGCCATCGTTTGCGATTGACGTCGGCATTTCGGGTGATAAAGTTGCGTGCGTCTAGTCCTACAGTTTTCTAAATGCTCGGGTGGGGCGCTGGACCGTAAAACCAATTGCTCGAGATTTTTCCGGACTCATGGCGCAAGAGGACGACGGGCAAGGCGGGATCGCACTCTTCCCGGATGACCTCGGGTTCCCCAACGTCGAGTGCATCCAAGAGAACGGGGATGAGATACTCGTCGAGTAGGCCATGCCATGTGCGTCATCCACGGCTCATGCGAACAACGTAGGGAGCTCACGGATGCGCAGACGTACGCACACGTCATCGCGCACTTGGAGCGCCGCCGCATCAAGGCCAAGCTCGCCGAGGCGAACGGAAGTGCAAAGAGGCGCAAGACAGATGACGCAGCAGACGACGAGACAGCTTCTGTCGCGAGCACGACCAAGGACGATGACGCAGCATCGCACCACGACGACGTGATCGACCCGCGTTTGCACTACCGTCCGATTGTATCGGAGCTTCAGGCCGCAACCGTCGAGCTGCACCAACTCATCAACACGATCGACCTTCTCCGGCGCCGCGAGTACCTCGAGGAGGTGTTTTGCCAGCGCGAGGAGTCGCACTTGAAGGCGAAGAAGGAGGACTTGACGTACCTCTTGACGTCGAAGGCGACGCAAATCTCGGACGCTGCGAGCATTCTCACGAAGGGTGCAACGGCGCTGCAGACGTCGGTGCAGAAGGAGCGACTCTTCTTCAAGGGCACCCGCAATGTAATCCTCATCCGACATCGATATCCTCATTTCGACTTGTGTAGCTTCTCGGAAAATGGAATATCACGGCGCCGATCCATGGCACGATTCCCAAGCCCTTCCGCGCGGGCGAACCCCTTGCCGTCGACTGCAGTTTTGCCACATGTAGGATACTTACCTGGAACACACGACGACGACGACGATATGCGTAGCGGGCTCCAAATTCGTTCCGCCGACAATGTCGATCAACGATGTGGCATACGCCGAGGTAGTCTCCCAAATTACGTTGGTTTCTCCAGCTCATGTGCACGGTAGCTTAGTCGCACGGCCGTTGGGTTGGTTCGGGTCGCGACGCCCGAGTTTCACCTTCAGCGCACGCTTCAGGTCTGCGGCACGACAATGTTTTCTTGGCGTCTCCAACAAACCCTGTAGCTCGAGTTGCGCTCGACCCTAACGTCCGAGGTCTTCGACTCGTACACCTTACCTACCTTACCAGTCTCAGCCTGGTGCACCTTGCTTTGATGCACAATCGCCATCTCAATATCTACTCAGGGAAACCGCCGAGTACGACGAGCTCACACATTCAGCCGACGATGCCGCGAAGCTCGAAGAGCACAACCAAGCGCTGCTCGTGGCGGTCCAACACGCCGTCTATTGCGAAGAAACCTTTGAGACTCTCATGCAAGAGGTGGTCTGCCTGTCGTTCTCGAAAATGCTATAATTGATGGTGTAGGCCCTTTTGCCATCGGCCAAGTGGGTCGAGACGCTTTTTCCCCTCCCAAACTACACGCCGACTGTTACGACGTCACGCAGCGCGTCCAAAGCCGCACCGATCTCCATGTCGTCGATCAAGGACGATGAGATCCAAGTGCGCATGGACCAGCACCAACTGCTCACTATCCGTCTCGTCGACGCCAGTGACAGCATCGTATCGGCGTCGCCAGCGCCTTCGTCGTTATGCCACCTTGCGGCAACGCTGCTGCTCCAAGAAACCCGCAAATTTCACGTACGGTGCAACCAAGCCAAGCGTCCGGCACTCTTCACACCGTCGGCGACGCCTGGTCGTCCTCGCGCGCTCCAGACTCTCATCAACGTGCTCTCTCATGCCCTTCTCAAGAAACAGCTCCAGACCTACCTCGATGGTCTTGCGGCATCACTAGCGATGGGGGACGCCGCTGTTCGTGTCCTCGACGATGGTCTCTGTCAACCGCGCTGCGACTCGACGCGCGGCATCTACACGCTCTTGCGCTGGAAGGTCTGCCCGCAACTCTCCACACTGGCTGCGCTGGAGCTCAGCATCGGCAAGGACTACTACTCGGGTATCCTATTATTGTTTGGTGTGACATGTGGTATACGTTGACGTAGAGGTGCTTGTGCGAGGCACGCGCATCGAGTGCCACGGTGACGTCGTTCAGCACGTGTTTGGCATCGATGCATTCAAGGCGTGGATTGAAGCCGTTGTGTGCCAACAAGTCACGATTGCGCTGCACCGCGATGCCAAGGCGCTTGGCATGAAGAAGGCCGTACTCGAGAACGACCGCCGCCGCCTTGTCTTGCTCGTAGCACCGGCATGGGACGGTACCTACGTCGGCGAAGGCAAGATTTCGGACGACACGGTTCTCAGCTCCTTGTACGTGTATTTGTATTTACTCCTGCACGGTTCTTTTATACCTCGTACACTAGGCTGCTCGAACCTATCGTCGTCGAAACGAAGGTCACGATTGCCTGCTCTGTCGTGGCGCTCAGTGTGCCGCCGAGCGTAGCTCCGTTCGTAGTCTCGGAGGGAACGCAGATCCAGTGGAGTGCGCTTCCTGGCGCAAGCGACGCTGCTAAGCTCACGTGGCTCGTGCGGCAGTTTGAGATGCTACCTGCGGTCCTCCTGAGTGCGTAGAACGACGTCTGGCTACTGGCGACTCCATATCCTACCTGCTAATCGTACCAGAGTCTTCTTGTACTGGCTCGTGGCGATCGTTCGATGCAGTCTTCGTGACGGGCGATGCGAGCTCACGAGGGACGAAGGAGCAAATTGGCTTTTACAGTTTTCAAAACGCGCGTGGGTTGGTAGGATACCTTGACCGTACCTGTTACGACGCAGACCACTTGACGAAACAAAGAGCCATGTCACTCAGTACGAGTAAAGCCACCGGGCCCGAGTTTTGGCTTGGGCCTGACGTTTGACACGCTCGGCAGAAGCTCGTCGTAACGGTGTTGGTGCATAGCGACGCGGACCACCCTAGGTAGTCTCGTTCTCTTACTTGAATTCTGGGCACCTCGTCGAGGCACGTCAAATATTCTTCCAAACGTCATTTACTGCTTGGAGCCAAGGACCACCTTTTGCGAGCACGTCGACCTCCCCGACATCACTGTGGCCAGTAAGCAATATCTACAAACACCAGTGATAGTCGCATTGGGCCGCGAGTGCGGAGATGCGGTCCAGAACGATGATACAATGGTGGACAACGCCAGCAACCACGCCAGCGGCATAAGTACGCAGACACCAAGACGCTCCTCTGGTCAATCCTCGACAGCGTCGTCACCGAAGGCACTTTCGCCACCGGCGACCAGCTCCCCGATGCCTTCCCACCCTCGCTGCTGCGCGTCGACGGCGTCGGCCGCATTGCCTTTCCGCTGTGCCCCGAGCAAGCCGTGACGCTCAAGGCCGCCTGCAGCATCTCGCCATTTGGCCGTGGTCACGACACGGTCATTGACACCAACGTCCGTCGCAGTGTCGAGGCGCCCGCCGACAAAGTGCACTTGTCGCCAGCGTGGACGGCCGCCGTCAACCAGTTGGCCATTGACGCGTGCGAGAAGCTCGGTCTCTCGTTCGCTGTCGACGCGCACTTGTACAAGCTGCTCTTGTACGAGGCGGGCGACTTTTTTCTCGAGCACCAGGACACGGAGAAGGAGCCGGGTATGTTTGGGACGCTGCTCGTCCAGCTTCCGGCGGAGCACACGGGCGGTCACTTGGACGTCCGGCACCGAGGCCAGACGAAGCGATTTGGTTTGGACGGTCCCGCGAGCGCGGACGCGCTGCATTATTGTGCTTTCTTTGCCGACGTGCACCACGCCGTGGCGCCCTTGACGTCAGGCCACCGTCTCGTGCTGACGTACAACCTCGTGCGTCGTGGGGCTACTGGCAATGTCGCGATTCCAAGCAACGCGGAGGCCGTAGAGCGCGCCAAGGCGGTCGTGACTACGTGGACGTCGGCACCCAACAAGCTCGTGCTCGACCTGGACCACGTGTACACTAGCGTGAGCGCCACGTTTGCGACGCTCAAGGGCAAGGACAGCGCGCGCGTCCAAGGAACTGCACCTCGTCTTGATGCAGAAACACGTGTTTGGAAGCTCATTTCGCGGTGATTTCGAAGCGGAAGGGAATGGATCTTGAAACGGACCAGATCCGCCACGAATCGGAGAGCGCCAGGATGGACGACGGTCATGGCATGACGCCATCGGTGCTGCAATGGGTTAACGTGCAACCACGCGGTTCACTTGCCGGCTGTCAAGCTCGATTTTGCCTCGGAGCTT